CTATGATCTTCATCTTTTCCTGCGTTGCCACTTGTATGCACCCTCGTACAAGTACGGATTCGTACTTTTGTACTCATACGCTACTTGTACGTTAGGGACTCTGTACGAGTGTTTTTTTTTTTTTAATCGACTATTGTTTTTATTTGTTTTCTCAAATTCTTACAAGAATGAAGATGATGCTCGGTCAAATCTTGTTTATTTTGTGCTCTTGCATCACATTTGTTTTTTCGAATTTTTTTGATGAACTTTTTTTTTTTTTTTCGCTTTTTCGTACGGGGAAGTACAAGACGTACAAGGAAGTGAAACACGTACAGGTTCCCGTACAGGTTCTCGTACAGGTTCCCGTACAGATCCCGTACACATATTACCTGTACGTTTCATACGGAAACGCCCCGTACGTGTACATTACGCAACGTAGATCTTTTCACTCGCTTGGCGTCGATTTTTTTCGTTTCAAACTTCTTGCGAACCATTTCTCTTACTTCCAATTTGAAGTTATGTTTAAAAATAATAATTTAAATTTAAAAAATTGAAGTGATAAAATTTTAACCAAATTACTCTAATCGAGTTTTCCTCAGGCGGTTTCGCCCATAGAGGGTCTAAAAAATTTCGGAGCAACGAACCGTCCGACTTTGATCCCGATGATTACCAGTCAAAAAAGTTCGGATTCCGAGATAAAATTAAAGCAACTTTAAAAGTTTTTTTTTTTTTTAATATGTTTTCATTTTTACAAGTTTTCCTACGCACGTAGCTTGTCTATTCCGGCAAAAGAAAAGAACCGTTTACATGAGAGACATAATACCAAAATGTTTTGAGCGTTCATATGATAGACAGAATAACAAAAAAATTATACTAAGTTACTTAGACATTAAAAAAATAATAATAATAATTTAAACTGTAACTGTTACGTCGCATGCCGATTGTGTTCGATGTCGGTTTTCCTTGAAAAATATTGTAAAAGTTCGGGAAATTCTCCCAAACAACTTTGCCCTCGAACAAGGTTCATAAATTTCGCTCCCATATTCAGTTATAAAATTAAAGAGTTAGACAAAATTTCTCAACAGAACTGAAAAGAAAAAAAAACAATAAAATTCATTAAGCTTTGGTGCACAGTTTTGACCACCAAAGTCTCATAATTTTCGGAGCAGCGATACGATCATCTTTGATCTGATTTGTTTCGCCCAAAGATGACCGTATTACGTGATTTAAAAAAATTTATAAAAAAATAAATCAAAATAATTGAATATTAAGTCAACTAGCTAAAGTTTTATAGTTTAAGGCTTTGTAGTTATGTGTATTTTCCGCTTGCGCACCCCCGTTTGATGGAGAAGGCCGAGGCCTTGGAGGTGTTATCCCCTCCCCGACAACGACACGAATGTTGTGAGGAAACCCGAGGAGAGGGCCCTGTGCGTCGCCGAATCCAGTGGCAGCGACGTCATGGTTTGTCACCCCGTGTGCCCACTTCAACAGTTCTGTGCACTGTAACAAGGGTGGGTGGTTTTATTGCCCCTCTCACACCCCCTTTAAAAATTATACCCTTATGTTTCCCTGAAGAGTGACCAGGAAAAGCATCTCCCGCTGCTCATCACATAAACTTCATCCGTAATTCCCTGTTGTAGCAACTGCAAACATAATAAAATGGTACATATCACTGCTAAGGTTGGTAAGATGTTGCAGAACTCTCAAATCTGAATTTTTTTCGGTCAAAAGTGTCAATTTATAGAGTGAAGCCCAATCTAGTTTCCGATTGCTCATGTGAAAGGGGCTCCTCTCAATTTATCATCATGTATGAAAAATATAAGAAAATTTTCTCTAATTATCCTTTTCTTGATGATATTCCAATCGTTTTGTAGAAAAGGTTTCTTGACTCTCTTAGTTTTTTTTCCAACCCATCTCAGTATCGTCAGGTTCAAGAAGGGTGCAGAGGAGATCTCTCTCTCGCCATTCTCCCTCAGACATTTTCTAATTTTTTTTTTGACTTCACCAACGCCAGGTCTGACGCAAGTTTCGTTTGAGAAGTATCTTCCTGCACCTTTGGCCCGGGCACATGAAGTATACATTGCGATTTATCTCACTTATTGACATCCCTTTTGCTCACTTCGCTGTTCACATACTCGTTTTCACTCACACAGTCGCGTTCACTCATGCACCCTGACTGTGCTTGAAACATTTGCACTCGAGCAACAAGCACGCGGAAGGCGCTGCTGCTCAACAATAGTTTTTTCACGAAAGAGGTTAACATGAGCGCATTTTCAGCACAAACGAACAAATACCTGATCGAAGCGGTTTCCCAGTCAATGGGGAATAATGACAATGAATTTTCTATTAGTACATGAAAATGTGCACGGTCATTTTCAACACTTGCACGTGCTCTTACTCCCCCACGCACACACACTAGCTGACTCACATTCCTTTTTTCTTTCACGTTCTTCCTCTCTCACTCGCACAAGCTTCACCTGACTCAATCCTCTCTCTCTCAGCTAAAATGCGTAAGCGGACCAATTAGCGGCTCAATTTTAATTGATCCACCAAGCCGATAAACCAACTCGATTTGAGTGAACCAGTGAGCAAATCAAAAGACTCGATTTGAGTGAATCAATGAACCAATCAACAGACTCATTTTTTAGTGAACCACTGAGCCAATTAACAAGCTCAATTTAAATTGAACTAGAGTCAATCAACAGTCTAGATTTGAGTGAACAAGTGAACCAATCAACAAGCTCAATTTTAAGTGAACCACTGAGTCAATCAACATGGTTGATTTAGAGTGAACTAGTGAACATGCGTTGCCACTTTCACGCACCCTCGTACAATTACAGATTCGTACTCTTGTACTCGTACGCTACTCTTACGTTAGGGACCCCATACGAGTTTTTTTTTTTTTTTTTTTTTTTTTTTTTTTA